GGATATAGATGCTTTTGTACCCGTTTCCTCCAGCATCTTCACAAGGTCCTTTGCTGTTGTTCTGGGATTGATTTGCACTTTTCGCACCAAAGTACGTTCATCTGTAGGAGACAGAACGCGTCTCCTTCTTGAGCGGTATGACGGCTGCGTGGTCCTATGGTGTTTATACTTGCATACTATTGTTTGTACAGATGAACGTGGTACCTTCAGGCGTTTGGAAATTGCTCCCAAGGATGATCCAGACTTGTGGAGGTCTACAATGTTTTTTCTGAGGTCTTGGCTGATTTCTTTTGATTTTCCCATGATGTCAAGCAAAGAGGCACTGAGTTTGAAGGTAGGCCTTGAAATACATCCACAGGTACACCTCCAATTGACTCAAATGATGTCAATTAGCCTATCAGAAGCTTCTAAAGCCATGACATCAGGACATTAGATGGTGCTCATCTTTCCATTCATTTGTCATTGAGGCATATTGCTGGTTCTACACAACTGATGTCATGGGATGTGGTTTCATTTTGACATTAGTTTACATTTGAGGTCTGTAAACATCTGACAAAACATTCTTTATGAGTGAAATGTCCCTTCAATTTTATTATTTGGTAGCAGTGGTAAGCCTGTCTGTCACACTCTGGCTCCGGGACTTGTAATTGAGCCAGGGTGTATTCGTTTGTTGTGTTTTGTTTGGTTGGGTTGTCATGTGGTTAGGTTTCCTTGTTTGTATTGAGTGACTCCCAATCAGAGGTAACGAGTGTCAGCTGTCGGCTCGTTATCTCTGATTGGGAGCCATATTTAAACTGTGTGTTTTCACCTTGTGTTTGTGGGTTTTTGTTCCGTGTTTCAGTCGTTGTACTTTGGACTTCACGAGTCGTCTTTTGTTTTGTATTTTGTGCTTTATATATTAAAGTCATGTTCGCTCAACGCGCTGCGCTTTGGTTCACTCATTCGTCAGACGATCGTGACAGAAAAACCCACCATAAAAGGACCAAGCAGCGTGTCCAGGAGCAAAGAGACTGGACATGGGAGGAAATTTTGGACGGAAAAGGGTCCTGGACTTGGGAGGAAATCCTGGATGGGATGGATCGCCGTCCATGGAGCGAAACAGTGGAGAGGCGACGGAGAGAGGAGCAACGGCGTCGGCAGAGCCATCGTAGGAAGGACGAGAGGCAACCCCAAAAAATTTTTGGGGGGGGGCACATGGCTTGGGCGGCTGGGCAGCAGGAGGCTGCCACAGAGAGACGTGGAGAGAAGGCTACCGGATTACGGGAGCCATTGGCGAGTAGAGGGAGGGAAGCAGTTGAGGCACGGCGTAAGAGACTGAGGTGTGTTACCAGTCCGGTCCGGCCCGTTCCTGATCCCCGGTTAAGGCCAGTGGTGTGTGTTCCCAGTACGGACCGGCCTGTTCCTACTCCACGCATCAAGCCCACGGTGTGCGTCGCCAGTCCAGCCCGGCCGGTTCCTGCTCCACGTACTAAGCCTACGGTGTACGTGGCCAGCCCAGCCCGACCTGTTCCTGCTCCACGTACCAGACCCACGGTGTACGTCGCCAGCCCGACCCGGCCTGTTCCTGCCACCCGCACCAAGTTTACGGTGCGCGTCGCCAGCCCGACCCGGCCTGTTCCTGCCACTCGCACCAAACCTACGGTGCGCGTCGCCAGCCCGGTCCGGCCTGTTCCTGCCACCCGCACCAAGTTTACGGTGCGCGTCGCCAGCCCGACCCGGCCTGTTCCTGCCACTCGCACCAAACCTACGGTGCGCGTCGCCAGCCCGGTCCGGCCTGTTCCTGCCACCCGCACCAAGTTTACGGTGCGCGTCGCCAGCCCGACCCGGCCTGTTCCTGCCACTCGCACCAAACCTACGGTGCGCGTCGCCAGCCCGGTCCGGCCTGTTCCTGCCACCCGCACCAAGTTTACGGTGCGCGACGCCAGCCCGACCCGGCCTGTTCCTGCCACTCGCACCAAACCTACGGTGCGCGTCGCCAGCCCGGTCCGGCCTGTTCCTGCCACCCGCACCAAGTTTACGGTGCGCGTCGCCAGCCCGACCCGGCCTGTTCCTGCCACTCGCACCAAACCTACGGTGCGCGTCGCCAGCCCGGTTCGGCCTGTTCCTGCTCCCCGCACTAGCCCTGAGATGCGTGTCCTCAGCCCGGGACCACCAGTTCCGGCACCACGCACCAGGCCTATAGTGCGTCTCGGCCGGCCAGAGTCTGCCGTCTGCCCAACGGCGCCTGAACTGCCCGTCTGCCCAACGGCGCCTGAACTGCCCGTCTGCCCAACGCCGTCTAAGCCGCCCGTCTGCCATGAGCCTTCAGAGCCGTCCGCCAGACAGGAGCAGCCGAAGCCTTCCGCCAGACAGGAGCAGCCAGAGCCTTCCGCCAGACAGGATCAGCCAGAGCCTTCCGCCAGACAGGACCAGCCAGAGCCGTCAGCCAGCCATGAGCAGCCCGATCCGTCAGCCAGCCATGAGCAGCCAGATCCGTCAGCCAGCCATGAGCAGCCAGATCCGTCAGCCAGCCATGAGCAGCCAGATCCGTCAGCCAGCCATGAGCCGTCCAGCCGGGATCCGCCAGAGCCGTCCAGCCGGGATCCGCCAGAGCCGTCCAGCCGGGATCCGCCAGAGCCGTCCAGCCGGGATCCGCCAGCCAGCCGGGATCCGCCAGAGCCGTCCAGCCGGGATCCGCCAGAGCCGTCCGGTCCAGATCCAGCCAGCGGGGTCAGACCGGACCGGGGGCGCTACGGGGGGATTGTGGAAGGGTGGTGGTCAAGCCCGGAGCCGGAGCCGCCTCCGAGGAGAAATGCCCACCCAGCCCTCCCCTGTTTGGGGTTTTTGAGGCGCGGTCGCAGTCCGCGCCTTTAGGGGGGGGTACTGTCACACTCTGGCTCCGGGACTTGTAATTGAGCCAGGGTGTATTCGTTTGTTGTGTTTTGTTTGGTTGGGTTGTCATGTGGTTAGGTTTCCTTGTTTGTATTGAGTGACTCCCAATCAGAGGTAACGAGTGTCAGCTGTCGGCTCGTTATCTCTGATTGGGAGCCATATTTAAACTGTGTGTTTTCACCTTGTGTTTGTGGGTTTTTGTTCCGTGTTTCAGTCGTTGTACTTTGGACTTCACGAGTCGTCTTTTGTTTTGTATTTTGTGCTTTATATATTAAAGTCATGTTCGCTCAACGCGCTGCGCTTTGGTTCACTCATTCGTCAGACGATCGTGACACTGTCACTGATCTCAGTTTATTTGTGTCTTGCAGGCGAGCTGTTCCTTGTTCACACAGACACATGGAAAGTGGTCGCTGCAGTGATTGTCCCTCTGGGCATTGTCCTTGTGGTCATATTAGCTTTCACCATCTGCCGCTGGAATCGTTTGTGCAATGACTACGGTAATAGAAAACTGATTAGAGTTTATTTGACTGAATGTAAATGTTTTACAGTGCAGTTTACAGAGTGGCATACACAAGGAGTTGGGTGACAAAATCAGTTGATCTACCCTTGAGCAAAGCACTTAATTAACCCTAATTGCTCCAGGGTCGCTGTCAATAATGGCTGATCCCTGGCCATTACCCCACTCTAAAAAAATACATTTCCATTTCACACCTATAAGTTAACCACTTGTATATGCAGTAAAACAGAACAAATGTAAGCACCCCCTATTTGACCTTTAGAAGTAAAAAGCGGGCATTGGTCTGTGTATTTAAGGATTTCAAAATTTTTTTAATGCAATTTTCTATGTATAAGGAAACATTTATTTGAAAGAACTTTCTCCACAAAAATACCAGATTCTTTGATATAAGGTTTCTTTAAATCACAGTGCGTGGTTTACCTGAACCGCATCAGTGTAATTGGCTCCATGGAAGGAACTTTGTCAAAAAACATCTTGAGTAGGTCCTTTTGTGGACCTTTCCTCTAACTGTTATCTATTTTCATGGGTGGTCCTCTGTAGCTCAGCTGGTAGAGCACGGCGGTTGTAACGCTAAGGTAGTGGGTTCGATCCCCGGGACCACCCATACACACAAAAAAAATGATGCATGCATGACTGTAAGTTGCTTGGGATAAAAGCGTCTGCTAAATGGCATATTATTATTATTTCAAGCCGTAAGTAATGTCTTACTGTCAAAAATGCAGTTTTCTCCTCCATAAATGGAACTGTCAGAGAAAACACTGAGGTTCTTGTGTTCATTAAGGATGTTCTCTCTGTCTGTTTCTTTTTTATGTCTGCAGTTAAAGATGAACACAATCTTCAGTTGAGTTAGTAGTGTCCAACAGTCCTATGCACGTGTCAAACTCATTCCACAGAGGGCCAAGTGTCTGTGGGTTTTCACTCCTCCCTTGTACTTGATTGATTAATTAAGGTCACTGGTTAGTAAGGAACTCCCCTCACCTGGTTGTCTAGGTCTTAATTGAAAGGCAAACTAAAACCCAGCAGACACTAGGCCCTCCATGGAAGGGGTTTAACACTCCTGGTACTATGCATCAATGGGTCGTATGTTTATATTTAAAAATGGTCTTCTCCATGGAAGTGAGATGTGTTCATTAAGGATGTTCACTCTAACTGTTCTCTTTTTATGTCTGCAGAGAAAGTTCAAGATGGCAACACTCGTAGTTGTGTCAACATCTTATTCATC